TTTTTTTTTTTTTTTTTTTTTTTTTTTTTTTTTTTTTTTTTTTGCGGAACCGAGGATTGAACAGGGAAGTGCATATTCCACTGAGCCATTTGCCCGGCCCTACCCAAAGTGTTATAAGCAAATGGCTCAGACGCCACCACCATGATCAAAGGTCCAACTTGAATTTCTGAGAATCTCTGAAAATGATTCATTTCCTAAAGCTACCTACCATCAACAATTTGTAAGTCTCAACACTGAAAATAAAACCAAAAACAAACAAAAAAACAGAAGAAACATACAACTCAACTTATCCAAAGTGAATATGGCAGACACTTGAGGTAGAGAACACCGAAAGCCACCCAGCTCAACTTTCCAAACGGATAGTAGCAAAGGAACAAAATAAATGAGTAAATCTTTCCAAAAAATCAAAGCAATTTGAAATATAGAACCCCAAATAGTCAGAATGAGGTAAAAAAATAAAAAAATTCTAAGGCATATAATAGTCAAAATTCCAGAAATTCAACACAAGAACAGAATATTAAAAGCTGTTAGAGCTGGGCATGTAGGCAAATATCTATAATCCCAGCACTAGGAAGGAGGGTTGTTGAGAGTTCAAAACCAGCCTGGGCTACAAGGTAAACTCAAGGCCAGCCTGAACTACATGTAACACCTTGTCTCAAAGAGATTAAATAGGGCCAGGGAGATAGCTCAGTAGAATAAGTGCTTGTCTGGCAAGCACAGGGTCCTGAGTTCAATCCCTGATACCACAAAACAAAAAGAAAATAAAAATTAAAAAAAGATTAAATACATAAATGCAAGGTATTAGAGAAAAGAAACATATTATCTATAAAGAAAAGCCTGTTAGAATCATACCAGACTTCTCAACACAAATGCAAAGTATTTCAGGTTCTAAAAGAAAACAACCTCCACGCCAGATTGATGCATCCCATGAAGTTATCTTCAAAACTGATAAATACTTCCACAATAAAGAACAGCTGAAGAAATTCATGAACATCAAACCAGTATTCAAAAAAGTTCTGAAAAAAATACTAGAAAAAGACCATTCTAATAATTTGAATAGAATTAATCTATAAGGCACAGTAGTCCAATCCCTGGTTAAAAAAAAAAAAAAAAAAAAAGGCAAACAAAGACTCGCAGAATGGATTAAGAAACAAGATACAAATAAAAAAGAAACAAGATCCAACAACATGTGGCATATAAGAAATATAGTTAACTAAAAAAAATTATAGTTTGAAAGTCAAAGGGTGGAAAACACTACTCCATGTGACAGGAACCCAGAAGAAAAGCCAAGGTAGCTACTCCATTTGGAGACAAAGTGGATTTTGAGCCAACACTGATCAGAAGAGTCAAAGAAAGTCACTCCCTACTTGTTAAGGGAATAATCCAAGAGAAAAAGTTAACAATCATAAGTATATATGCACCAAATACTGGTTCACCCAACTATATAAAACAAATATTAGTGGATATGAAAATCCAGATAAGCTGGGGCTGGTGAGATGGCTCAGTGGTCTAAAGCACCTACT